TTCAGTTTGCGAAGCCCGTGGGGCTAAAGTCGGGGATAGATTGTGCCCAGCATTCTTTAGACCAAGGAGTGTTCAGCAGCCAACACCCAGTGGTGATTCCTGAATTTCAGGAGCGGCGGATGTGCGTTAAGACGACCTCGCATTTCAGGAGCGTAGCAGAGACAGTGGACGAGCATATACAATATGAGCTACACTGTCAGGATTGGAGACAAATTTGCGACATATATGCAAAAGATGGCATACCTACGCCAACCCGTTTGGAAATAAAGTGAATTTATCGATTGGTAAATCTTTATGGCTCACCCTGTAGCTATCGTCCTATCTCTCTAATTAGTTGTGCCTCTAAAATAATGGAACGTATGGTCAATGGGCGAATTAGGGCTTACCTAGAAACCAACTCCCTTCTCTTTCCGTTTCAAAATGGCTTTCGTCACGGCCGATCAACTGCAGACAATATAACATAACGGGTGGTCAGTATGAAACTGGACAAAATTCAACTGATCGTATCATTAACAATAATGAACGGATTTTGATGATTTTTGGCACGTGAAAACTTTCAAACATTTTACATTAGCAAACGAAATTTCAACTTTCTGCTAGCAACTAGTGGGAAGTATGGCGCCGCTAAGTAAACAGGGGTTCCGGGACCTGTTCGCGCAATTTATCAAAAAGAACCCCAATCACACAAAAGCTGCCATCGTTCGCCACTTTGCGTCGTACGGTATCGCCAGATCCACAGTTTATGCGATCATCGACAAGTTTCGAACTCGTGGTGATGTTTTGCACGCTGGGAAAGGCAAGATCGCTCAGAAAATGCCCATCCGGCTTCGAAAGAAACTGATCCGAGCCGCTACTGAAAAACTGGGAGTCTCCCACCGGCTTCTGGCTAGGAAGTTTGGTATCTCCAAAACCTATGTACAGCTCATACTGAAAGAAGCAGGGATCAAGTACAGGAAGAGGACAAAGGCTCCAAAGGTCACCGAAGCACAAGCACAAGCCCAGAAAACCCGCCTGCGCCGCTTGTCGCAAGAAAGCAAGTACCCACGCAAGTTGCTGGTCTGGCTCGCCATGAGTCCAAGAGGGGTCACGCGCCCAGTTATTTTGCCGAGCGCGGGGAATGTGACGGGTGAAGTATACCGTGAAAAGTGTCTGAAGAGCGTTCTGCTGCCATTTATCGAGGCTCAGTACCCAGATCATGATGTTCTGTTCTGGCCCGACCTGGCAACCGCCCACTATGCGCGCCAGACCATGACACTTTTGGAGGAGGCTGGGGTGCCAGTAGTGGCGCGTGATATGAACCCCCCATGTGCCCCCCAGATTCGGCCGTTCGAGGATCTGTGGGGGCTCATCAAGCAGAAGGTTTATAAAGGGGGGTGGCAGGCCAGCTCAGACGCGCAGCTGAAGCGAAAAATCCAGCAAGTCATCCGTGAAATCGACCCAGAGGTGCCGCGAAGGATGATGGCGGGGCTGCCCGCGCGCGTGCGTCTGGCGGCTGGCCGAGGTCTGATGGCGGAGCTCCACTGAGTCGAGCGTGATGACAGCAATATAAGGAAACGGTGGTGGCATTTTCGTTGTTTTCAAATGAATACTTTCAGCACAGTAACGATTTAACTTTTGTCCAGTTTCATACTGACCACCCGTTACATTGTAGATGATATCCAACGTGGTTTTCAAACAAGAAAATATACCGTTGCTGTCTTTATTGATCTCCAAAGCGCATTCGATAAAGTAAATAAAATTGCCCTCCAAATAAAACTTCATAAAAAAGGATTGCGGGGCAGAATGGCCTCATACATTACAAACTTTCTGAGCAACCGAACTTTTAACGTAAGATGCGGCAACACAAATTCACCTCCTTTCCGACAGGAGCACGGGCTACCACAAGGCAGTGTGTTGTCCCCAACCCTTTTCCTAGTAATGATTGATGATATAATAGAAACACATAATACTAAACTTAAATTTTAATATATGCCGATGACATAGCCGTCTGGGTTACTGACTCATCTGTACAAACGGCGTATGCTTACATGAACATAGCACTTGATGATATTAGAAAGTGGTGCGACAAATGGGGACTTACCGTGTCCCCAATTAAAACAGTGGCAATGATAGTCACTCCCCCTAGAAGCCGTTTTACTAACCCCCCTAGACTACAGATAAACAACATACCTATTGAATATGTAAACCAATTTAGATATTTGGGAGTCACCCTAGACAATAAACTCACATTCAATAAACACTTTGAAGATATAGCCCAACGCTGCGAAAGACGTATAAACATACTTAAATGTATAGCAGGTAAGAAGTGGGGCGCAGATAGAAGCACACTTCTCAGACTATACATTTCCCTAATTCGCCCTATCTTGGACTATAATGCTTTTCTATTTGATGATATAGCTTCTAAGAAAATTGACTCATTGCAAATAATCCAGAACAAAGCACTCCGTATAGTTGCGGGCGCGATGTCCACGACAAACATAATATGTCTCCATATCGAACTCAATCTGCCTCTACTTGTACAGCGTCGGAAATACCATCTCCTTCGGTTCTTCGCTCGGTCGTGTTCCTTTCCCTCTCACCACACATATAAAATACTAAATAACCGTTGCACTGAAGATCTGCAGCCGACTACTCCTCAAAGACGCAGTGGTTATCGCCTCTTGAATTCAAATGGTACTCAACGTCTTTCGAATATCCCATCCGAACATCATGCCCTCACCTTCACTTTCCTCTTTCTTCTTACAACAAATCAAGCATATCGATTTCCTATTTACCGATAAAAAGACAAAAATTACAAAAGAGGAAGCACAACAGCTGTTCTTCGAATATAAAGAAGAGCATCAAGCAGACGCATATATAACCGATGGTTCACGGAAAGACGGACACTCTGCCGCAGCTATAACTTCGCAAAATTATGAAAAAAAAAACAAACAGACTTCACGACAGCCACAGCATATTCAGCGCTGAATTGATAGCGATTAGTTCAGCTCTTAAATATATTGCAAGCAAACATTTTCAGAAAGCAGTGATATGCACAGACTCGGCTTCCTCTGTTAGGACTTTGACAACAAGAAAAAACGGAAACACATCCTTTGGTATACAAAATAAAAAAGCAGCTGATTGCTCTACAGAAAGAAAATAAAGAAGTAAGAATCCTCTGGATCCCCGCACATATGGGGATCCAAGGTAACGAACGGGCAGATAGCCTTGCCAAATTTGGACTTCTCTTCTCGTCTCGAAATCATCTTCCTCTTCCAGTTATAGATTTCATCAACCATATTTACGTCTCCTTTATGCAACTTCGACAAAGAGACTGGGACACAATCAAACATCCACATCTCTATCCGATTAAACCATCAATTTCCCATTTCTCTTCTTCAAATCAACCTACAAGACAACAAGAAACCGTGCTGGCCAGACTGAGGCTAGGACACACGTATCTTACACACTCGCATATATACGACCATGTACCACCTCCAATATGTCACTATTGCCCCACACATCCAAGATACACAATACAACACTTCATACTCCATTGCCCACGCCTACAGCACCACAGAAGACACATTATAAGACACATTACCACACATGGCCTCAGTCTGGATTTGTCAACTATTCTTGGCGACGATCATCCAGAGCTTCATGATTTGCTTTTTATCTTTCTTCAGGAGGCACGTCTTATTAACAGCATATAAAAACCACCTCACTGAGACAAAAGGAACCCCGAGCACGGGCATGAGTGGGCGCCGTGGGGACGATAGTAACGCGGCGCCCAGTTCCTTGTGCAACTTAAATCCCGGTCGTTTGTTTACATTTTCCTTTTGATTGCATCGTGTGCTCGCGCTCTAGCCATTGATGTTTCTTGCATTGTGTAACTGACATGTGTAACTGGCGGCCTCCTATTGCGCTCTCCGACCCGCTAAGGCGGAGTCGTTGAGAGCCAACGCCGACTGGCGGCCAAGGTGTTAGTACGCCTGTGGTCGCCGAGCGCCCCTCCCCAGCACGGGGCCGTCATTATCCCTGCCCTTTTCCTCCTACACATTAGATGAAACAACTGTAGGGGCTTTTTCCCCGCGCTCTTTGGCTTCAGCGCGGGGTTTTCCCCTTTGCAATAGGCGTCAGGTTTTTTGTTATTTAGGACTTTTTCCCTGACCAATACACCCCACACCAGTACACTGACACCTTGCACAAGTGTATGAATATGTGATGTGAATAAATGTTACCGTTTCTTCATCTGTGTTTTTTGTTCCGGCTTTTTCGGCGCTTCGGCAAAAGTAAGTTTCCCCATTAGATTTGCTCACACACGCTAAGGATAGGCTCCCACGTTGCTATTGCTTCCGGGTTCACATAAACCGGCTTAACGTAAAACTTTGTTCCTGGCCAAAATTGCCAGATGTAATGACCCACCCCCGGCTCCAGACTGGCCTTAGGCTGGCGGAGCAAAAAAAAAAAAAAAACTTCACTCTGACGCTAAGCTATGACGTCATTGCAAAACGCTAGTGCGCCGCGCCGCCAGCGCCAGCAGCACGCTAGCAGCATTCGCACTCAAACCTCTGTTCTCTTTGTACTTGGTTCTCAAGGCCCTCTGTTCCAAACGTGATTCATCATAAGCTAACGGATCGCACGCAACGTCATTAGAGTGACTGGTATGCCTTAGCTCCCAGCGCGCTGCAGCGAGCGCAGCGTCAGGCGGTGAAACAGGGCCCGAGATTCAGTAGATATCTGACGTCATATGCCTAGCTATGCCTAGCCCCCCCCCCCCCGGTCCACGCTTAATGGTTGGTGCACTTTGTCAGCTGGATTCAGCAGTAGTCAGCCCGTCAGCAGCGGCCGTGAACAAGGCTCCAGTCATTGTCTCGGCAAACCTCGTACCGTGCTACATAAGATGGTAATATGGAGGGTCGAACTGTAATGAGACGGACTCCATCTGTTATTGAGATCACTATGTAGAGTAGCCGCCCGATGTGTACGCCTGACGCGGTGCTCTGTTGTCGCCGCAGGGGTCAGCCAGGAGCTGCTCGTCGCTTGTCGCCCGGCCGCCACCGCCCGAAAGGTGGTGCACGAGGAGCTGGCACTGCAGTGGGTGGTGGCTAGCGGCAATTCGCGCCAGCTGGCGCACGCCAACCCCTGGTGAGAGCAGCCACAACACGTCCGACGGCGTGGTGGTAAGCCGGCTTAACCGGCTCCCTGGCCGTTGTCTATCGCTTAGCATCTGATTGAGCGGGATCGCCTGGCAGTCCCTCGGCATGAGGTCCAAGACTTGGCCTGTGGCCTGCTCCTCCCCGCGCTCGCTGACGCCCGTGTTACCGGACGTTCCGCTCTCGGCAGGTTTTTCTTCGAGCTGATGTTCAAGTCTATGGTGTGCACACTGGCGTCGGGAGGCCGACTGGACTCGCCGCGCCGGCTGCGCTTCTCCGAGCGGTTCTGTGACGACATCACCACACTGGTGGACAACATCACCAAGGATGTGGTGGCGACACAGGCGCGCCACGCCGCTGAGGCGGCCCCGGTGAGAGCCCAGATGGTCAGCCGGACGCGGCGGCTGACCACTCGGAAGGTGGCAGCGACCAAGTCAAACCCGATGGCGAATAGTGTGTGTTTTGGGAATCAATTGGCGTCAAAAGATTTGGGCGGGGAAGAGGGGGAAGAGGTATTCGTTGCAATACTTTAATCTGTACCTTTTTGGAGGGTGGGGGGATGGGGTCAAATGCTGTTTACATGGTCCTCTTTAATCCGGAAGTATTTTTTATTTCCAAAATGAATGTAACATGGATGATAGAAAGAAAAATCGTACAACACTATTATAACGTGGCTGGCTTTCAAAAAGCTGACGGCGAGCCGTACAGTCCCAGCGCGATGACCCGGCACCATTCTCGGCGCACCACATCTGGCTGCCTATGTTTCTAACCCTCCCCCTTGTTAGCGTGTTGCCAGCCGGTAACGTAAGGCGGGGATTCCACAGCCTTGGACCAGCCCATGAGATTGTGTGTGTTTTATATAATTTGTACGAAAATATTTCTTTGAAGTGTTTGTTATAACGACTGTTTCTATTTTGGTCCACTCTCTCAAATAATTCATCAATCGAAAGTGGTAAGATTCCTTGAATCTTTTTATGTAGTAGTAACAACATCTGTTGTCGCCCGATGTCCTGGATACGAAGAAGTTTAAATTTTTTGAAGATTGGTGCAGTGTGCGCTAATCTACATTGGCCGTCTATTAATCTAACGGCACGCTTCTGTATTTTGTCTAATTCACCTAGGTTTGTTAAGTACGTATTACTGTAGATAAAGCAGCAATAATTAACGTGAGACAGAAAGAGTGAGTTGTAGAGCAATAACAAATGTTTACTGTCCAGGAAAACTTTCAATTTAAACATAATACCTACATTTCTCGACAGTACTTTCTGGAGTTTGGAGATATGAGTTCTCCACTTCATATCATCATCTATTAAATTACCAAGATATTTAACAGTATTGGTACGTTGTAATATCACACCATTCAGTTCGATTCGCAATTCAAGTTGTCGTTTCTTGTTCGTGTATATCTGATAATATGTTTTATCAGCATTGAGAGACAGTTGGTTAGAAGTAAACCATTCAGCTACCTTTGGCATCAAGGTATTTAATCTTGTTTGTAAAATATGCTCACTTTCCCCTTCTATTAAAATAGCAGTGTCATCAGCATATAAGAGTGTACTTATGTGTTCACCACATATCAAAGGGAGATCATTTATATAAAGTATAAACAGAAGTGGTCCCAAAATTGATCCCTGAGGGACTCCAATATCAATTGGAAGGGAGGATGAACGCATGCCATTTATTTCCACACACTGGGTACGGTCACTGAGATATGAGTGAAACATCTTATGGGGTCACTGAGATATGAGTTAAACATCATATTACTGACTGGGCCGACGAAATTATTTGGAAACGAGGTTTGCAAAATTGACGTAGGCCCGAGTGCGAAGCACGAGGGCCGGAGTCAAATTTTGCAAACCGAGTTTCCAAATAATTTCGTACGGCTGAGGTCAGTAAGATTTTTCCTACATGCCGCATGCTAAGTAGTTCCGACAGGTTTTGGTCGTTTTGGTGACACTTTTATACAATTGTTTTGTCCATAATTTCCTAACAGTGATTGCGCTACTGCTGTGGATAAAGCTTTAAAGGAAATTTATAGAAGAAAATGCATCAAAACACCTTACTTCAAAAAGAATCGCGTCTGAAAATATCAACTCAGAATGGCACAACAACTGGATATCCAAGAAACATAATGCATGAATAATTTGCCACGACATAAGAACAAGAAGAAGGTATAATATTCCTAGTGATTAAACGTGAATTTTCCAGTGCTCTTGCAAGAATCTTTTCTTTATTTATATAATCGTACTTTGTTGATGCCCTATGGCTAAAGTATTGTGAAATACATTATATTTTCCATATTTTACATGTTTGTTTCGAGGAAAGGACTTCAACTGTCAAATTATAACGCGATAACTTAGGCTCAAGGTATCAGTGGACATATCAAACGAAGATAAGACAACAAGCGACAACGGATTTCGATTAATAGGCGCATATCTTACCATAATTTCGGCTTTGTAACCAATACAAAATATTTCAAAAGACCTTAATAAGCAGAGCAGATATTTTTTACCAAAAAAATGTTAGCTTTCTAGTTTTACGCGGCAAATATCATGCAATAATGATGTCAATTATACATTCCCTGTCAATTATACCTCTGGGCTAATGCGATAAACTGTAGTTTAGAGGTCACTGCCCTGGGCAGTAAACCCGGGCAGTAAACTTTTGTTTCCTGCCCGGCCTATCAAATAACATGGCATTTTGACACCGACAGTTTCTTGGTCATAGTTTTACTGCCCGGCTCGTGCTGTGCTTAAGACATACCCCGGCATGTAGGAAATGTTTTTTCACTTTCACGCATAAGAAGAGAAGGTATGAATACCAAAGTATGATTAGAAACAAACCAAAAATCTTGGAAAGGAGATAATAGTAAGAACCCTTCAGTAACAGTGTACAGAATACCTACAATATTTTTTTCTTTTTTTTTAAGAAATACACCGCCACCCATGAACAGGTGACCAGGAGTGCCCCCGCCCTCGAACCCAGCGACAACAGAACCCTTACGTTAACACCAGAAAAACTGAGAAGATAAATGTCGCGGCACTCCTGCTAAGAAAGGAAATAAACTAAACAGAAGCAAAGAAGAAATGAGAGCAGCCAAGGATTGTTAGTATGGCATACGAAGAAGGCAGAAAGTAGTCAATGGACTAATGAGCCATTGACTGAACCTCCCACTACGATCCCGAAATGAGCATTCATACATTCATACATACATTGGGTTAGGGGGTTTCCGTGCATACAGGTAAAAATTAGTCTGGTCATATATGATGCTGGTGTTTATGCCGGTGTGACCAGGGGAACTCTTCCAGCTAAGCAAGGCTTGTTGCTGGTCGAGTCCCCAGGTCACAGCAAAGGAATGTGGCGTATAGTCTGAATAGGTAGGTATATTGGAGCATATTTGTTTGAAATCCTTTTTCAGCTCAAGAGGGACTTTATAGAGCATGTTTAAAATACTTTGTGAATGACCTCTCCTTGAAATTGTATGTAGGATATATTTTACAAAAAGTCAAATACAGAAATGATAAATTTTCGATCACGGATCTTTGTCAAATCACATTCAAAATTCAAAAATTCATTTTGAATTTTGAATGTGATTTGACAAAGATCCGTGATCGAAAATTTATCATTTCTGTATTTGACTTTTTGTAAAATATATCCTACATGAAAGAGGAAAACGAATCGTATATTTCACCGGGAACAGAACCAAGCACACAGCATTGGCACAGGATTTTAGCGCAAACGGAAACGGACAACAGTAGCGGTATTTTTAAACATCGCAGCAACTATAAAAAATAGGCATGTCTCGGAGCGTTCAAGCCCTGGACCCACTTGTGAAAGTGGGACATGCGCATGCTCCGGGGCAGCATAGAGAGGAGGACCGAGAGCGTGTTACGCGTCGCTCCTCACGAAAGCCGTCCGCAGGGGTCGGTGGTGGTGGGTGTGTCGGCGGATCAGCCTCTGAATCGAGTGGCGGCCCCGCAACTGGCTCTTCTTCCGGTGCCTGGAGTGACTGAGGGATCCTGGTCGGGGTCAGTCCGGACGATGGCGGCGGCGACGGTCCCGGTCTGGTGCCCACTGCTGGCCTGGCTGTGGCCAGCACAGAGGCAGCGTTACCTCTGGCCACGGCGATGGAGACTCTTTGTGAGAGCCAGACTGTTTCGCGCTTGTCGCCGGTGCGGGCTGTCAGTCGACGGCCAAGCTCCTTCAGGAGACCGGCTGCAGCCGGACCCAGCACACCAGACGTTTCGACCGCAAAAGGGACGAAGACGTATCGCTCACAGAGAGCTGCATATCGGGTGCGCTTGCGCTCTTCCGCACAGCGGGCGGCGCTCCCAGGATTCAAGGCGGAGCTGATGATGGCCGTTGATGAGTAAGTGTCGCAGCAGGTAGCGTCCCATACGAGGCTCATTTTCCGGCTGAAAGGGAAGAGTGTAATCCCATCGGGACGTCGGCCATCTCCTCTGTCAAGGCCGGTGGGCTCCAGCACACTCTCAAGTCCTGCGCTGCTGAGTGCTCGCCGTAGCACGTCATTAAGGTTAGCGTGACGTGCGTGGCGGCCAGCACTCTTGGCACAGGAGAGACCGTGGTGTCCCAGTTGGTCAACAGGGCGATGGCAGAGCTGACAGTTATGTGGCTCACATACTGATCCCCCAAGACGCAGCGCCACCGCTACCCGGACAGTTTCGTTATCCAGGTGGAGCCCTAGACTGGTGACGGGGAGGGCCTGCGCCCAGGCAGCGGTGTGGGGCTCTGCGGCAGCAAGGAGACGTGCCCGGACCACCTGGTTTGCCCCGTCCAGCAGACGCTTCTGTGCCATCTTGGAGAAGGCATCATCCCAAGCGCGCTGTTTTTTCTCTTCTGATATGGGCACAAGGTGAGCGGCCTCGCCGAGCTTCGCGACGGCATCGGCCTTGACTCGCTGGAGTGCTCGAGTAGGCTGGCGAGGCTCGGTGGCGTCTAGGACCTTGCCAGAAAGCAGTTTTTGTGCGATATAATTTTCGTGTAAATGTCTCTTTAAAATGGTGTATGTTTCTTGTTTGGATATTTGGGTCATCCTGCAGATAAAATAGTGTTTCAAGAGATGGCGGCAAGGTTCCATTTAACTTCCGATGCATGATTAGAAGAAGTTGTTGTTTGGCGATATCATTTACTTTAAGAAGGTTGAGCGTTTTGAAAATGGGATCAGAGTGAGCGAGTTTAGGCTGATTGTCAATAATTCTGATGATGCGTTCCTGAAGAATTTCAATTTTGTTTAGGTATGTTGGGAAAGTAAAGCCCCATACGACGGTACAATAGTTTATGTAGGGCAATACCAAGGAGTTGTAGAGCAATAAAAGTGATTTTTGTCTAATAAGTTCTTGATTCTGTTAAT